GTTTTTCTCCCTCTTCTCATATGTCACTTTGTCCTCCTTCTGTATCTTCACCAACATGCTTTTTCTCCACCTCTACAGTCCAGAGCCAGCTTTACATCCACCAGGTCTAAACATCATCTGTATCTGTCTCCCCTCTGCTGGGTCTCAAGGACTAACATATCCTATCCAGCAGCACAGACAAAATACAAAGCGACTGGGACACAGAGGAGACAGTATGACTGTCCTGGTTTTTGAATTTTAAATTGTTTGATGGAAATGGGGGATGAGCAGTAAAAGGCAGTATAAGAAAGAAAATGAGGTGGAAAATAGTAAGAAGAGAACTGCAGAATAATTGCCAGGAGTCAAGCTCATTTTATAACTAGTTTTAAGAACAGGCTCACCTGTTGTTAACAAATTATTAAAGCTGAGCAAGACATGTAAATTTATTTAAAATTCCATGCCTCATCTATCCAAGCTTTTTGGGAGTATAAATAAACAGATGAGTGTTTTTGTCTTTAATGTATGCTGGGTAATACTAAGGTGACAGATACTACAGCCAGCTGTGTCCTCTACAACCTTTAAAGCACTTTTGCTCTGTGTGATGAAATATTCAAAACAAATAAGCAGGACAGAGAGAGGGAGAGAGACAGATCAAATTTCCTGTTGTCAACTTATCTTTAGAGCGGGACATCCCAAGGAATGCCTTTTTCTCTGAGCGTGTGTGCAAAAAAGACAGCTGAGACACCAATGATTAATCCTCAGCGTAAGACTTCCTTTTTTCATTTGTATGAAAAGTAATGACAGCATTCCCTGAAGGCTTCCACTAGTTCACTGCAGACAGCAGTACTTAACTGTGGCTTGTATCTGCTGCAAGACTATGATAAGCACACACACACACACACACACACACACAGTCACCTAATGTATATATTATATATAATGCCCCCCCCCCTTTTGCAAAAGTCAGGTTACATTTCACTGTGTGTTATACCTGCATAACTATGCATGTGATGAATAAAGAACCTTGAACCTTCTTGAAGATTACTGCTGCTGTCTGTAATTCTTTGCTTCAGAGCACATCTGTCTGCAGTAATCCTTGTTGGCAGGCGTCCATATGTATTAACGTCCAAGCCAAAACATTTCTACTTGAATTACACACATAGGGATGTCTGTAATTCAGCAGCACTGTTTTACTCTGGACCGGTGATATATATAACAGGTCATATTCGCTAAACTATCCCACAAAAATAATATCATTTTGGGAATCTGTCAGCTGCAGATTTTCTCCTGCTTTCATGTTGTTATGTCACTCAGGTCATTCTGCTGGGGCAATGCTAAAAGGTTATAGCTGTACTGTGATCTGTTAAGGCCCCCCAAAATAAATAAATCTTATTGTCACTGAAGAGAAACATTTACCCTTAAAAGAATTCCTCCCTGAAAAAAACTGAAAAACTTGATGACCACCACTTTGCCAGATGTAGAAAAGTAAAGCAAAAAAGCCATTACACTTTGGCTTTATAATATTTTACATTGGGTTGAGCAGGTCACTGCAGGGGCCATCGTTTTGCATTTCATTGCACTGTTTTCTCTCTCTGACTTCCCATTTACTCTACTGTCCTGTCAAAAACTGTCCCCTGTCCCTTTATTTTCACCACTGCTACAAAATCTCCAGGCATCAGAAGATATAACCCCAGCAGACTTCCTGCTTGAGGCTCTG